GCTGGCCAGCCCCATGTAACATTTGATCTGTCATACTACAAGAACTGCAATGAAAAGTCACGTTGATATATTGTTTGAAACAAGGAGATCTCAATGTACAATGTGAAAATTAGCAGGATCGGCAAAACTCTACACCTGCTAACAGGGACTGTTGAGTAGTGAAGGGCGCCATGGAGGCGAGATGTTAACTACCTCGCCTGTTATACAGGAGGTCGCGGGTTCGATCCCGACCCTGACGCCTGCTGCTGTATATTTGTGTGACGAAATGTTAACTACCTCGCCTGGTATACAGGAGGTCGCGGGATCGATCCCGACCCTGACGCCTGCTGCTGTATATTTGTGTGACGAGATGTTAACTACCTCGCCTGGTATACAGGAGGTCGCGGGTTCGATCCCGACCCTGACGCCTGCTGCTGTATATTTGTGTGACGAAATGTTAACTACCTCGCCTGGTATACAGGAGGTCGCGGGATCGATCCCGACCCTGACGCCTGCTGCTGTATATTTGTGTGACGAAATGTTAACTACCTCGCCTGGTATACAGGAGGTCGCGGGATCGATCCCGACCCTGACGCCTGCTGCTGTATATTTGTGTGACGAAATGTTGACTACCTCGCCTGGTATACAGGAGGTCGCGGGTTCGATCCCGACCCTGACGCCTGCTGCTGTATATTTGTGTGACGAAATGTTAACTACCTCGCCTGGTATACAGGAGGTCGCGGGATCGATCCCGACCCTGATGCCTGCTGCTGTATATTTGGAGTTTGCTTGTTCTTCCCGTGGTCGCGTGGATTTTTCTCCAGGTCCTCAGGTTTAAGCCTCCACGTTTAGAATCAACATCATGCGTTTAGAGTATTTGGCGGTGATAAATTTTGCACGTGATTATAAGGCCACTCTGTTGAGCTAGCATTTGTGGATAGGTCGCTTCTGATAAAGAGCTACATAGCTCGGTGGGCCTTACCTGGTGGCAAAACAAAAAGAGTTGAATAGTTTCGGTTTCATTTATACATCCACTTCAAATTCATGTAGGCTGTAAAAGTATTTGTAGAGGAATATCGTGCCGCATGAAAACAGCCAAACCAGTATCAATCACTCGTTCTGAACCATAGTTTTATTCTGTCATGCAAAATATTTCCAACTCTTTCTTTGGGCCATCTGACACTGTTCACAAATATTTAACACATATTCACAGTCGTGTGTGCTCAGATATGTACAACTATCATGTCTATATTGCGAATAAAACAAAAAACTAAAGAAATGTAACTTTCGGCCTTTCCGAAGAAATGCTTACAATTAATTTGGAAGACCCTCTTTGGACCTGTAAATAATTAAAATAAATTATTTGGAGTGAAAAAATTCAATAAAAATCTTAAAGCTACGCACATAATCTGTTCTAAAGAGGTACTAGGTTGAAGTGTCAAATATATCATCCAACATGTAGGCCAGCTACTAAATAAAATACTGCATATATATTAAAAAAAACTCAAAATGATAAATCTTCCATCACAATTCCTGCACCAGCCTTAATTTGCATTGCTGAGGTTTAGCAACTCCTGCAGTTCCGCGTGCATAAATAAAAAAGGAAAGAGTTTTACAGTGACGCGAATATAAATTGCTAAGCCATACACACAACAATGCACTTCACCGGCAGCCCGTATGATTTTGATGTGGTACGGCACATACAATTGGGTGTTTAAGTGAAACCCACACTACCAGAACGAGTTGCATTCGTGAATTTAACATCCTAAGTTTACAACCGTCACCCCGTCCTCTCCCAACTAATACGTGTGAAACGTGGCGTGAACTTGGAGACAACTCTCAACAAAGTCGCCCAGACAAATCCATGGGCAACGGAGCCCTGGATGATTTTTTAAGTTTATCTGGCCACTGTAATGCAACATCTTGTGTAGACAAACGCTCCTTTAGTTTGTGGTCACTGGGCACAAAAGCGAATGGTGTGTAAGAGAAGCCCATCAAGAAACGTGGTCAAGTGGTCCGACTAGAGCATCGCAAATTTAAATCACCCCAGGATTATTTGATTCATAAATATAACAAAAACATAAAAAAAGCAGACAATGCATAACTTTATACTCGCACACAATAGCAATGTTTGTGTCCAATTCAGTCTCGGAGAAAATGATGTATGAACGTTTGTAAACAACAACAGCAACAACAACAAATGAACGTTTATAAAACTGAAATTAACGCATGCTAATTAAATGTACAAACAAAACAAAACATGTTTAAGTGTTGTTTGGCTATGTTCATTGGCTATGCTCACATGTGGAATGCATTCTAAAGGCAAGTTAGATTTGTTGGACAACTCGAAGATCAGTGCATTTGTGCCAGCCCACGCGCCGGTGAGAGGTTTTAACGCAATTCCACCCAGACAGTGCTGCTGCTGATGCTGTACAGCCCAGGGTGTAAAGTGCACCTCAGGTTGGGAAGCACCGCTCTTGTTGCCCTTCAGCATATCTCACGCGAAGCTTCTCGTTGCTCATGCCCGACAGCCGGGTGACAACACATATGACGTAAATATTCGCCGAACATCATCCGTGTGTTTTGGTGTGGATTTATCTCAACTTTCATGTTCACACTACTGGTTGCACACAAACTGCACTTGCACTCTGGATTATTATTTTTTGGCTTGCTTAAGACTGGTAGAGCAGTTAGACCAGACTCTTCTTTAGCATATTAATTTAATTCTAAGGGGTCAATATTGTAATTTGAGTCATCCAACCACTACTCTAGGTTGGTGAATGTTTTTTTGATGATCGGGGTGAAAGAAATGTAGCCAGACGACGTCGTTGATTTATGTTACTTTGCATCTTGCATATGAATGCTTCTGCCATTGATTGTTTCCGTTACAAATGTTGTCGACAAAGGGAGCTGCCAAGTCTTGACAACACTGACAACGTACACGTGGAAGCAGCGACACGAGGCTGTATATACAAGGCCTCCACTGGCTCACCTCAACGTGACCATGTGAGTGCAGAGGATGGGTTCAGTGGGAAGAATGTCGAAATGCAAAGTTGTAAACATTGGGATTTAAATGTAATGGACACGTGACCAGAGTTTAGACTGCATTTGAACACCCAACGAAGAAGCACATCTGGGTTCCGTATTTAACGTTATATTTATACACTTTTTTTCCCCCAATGCATTTTCACAGGATTTGGGTTAGCTTTTACAGGAAAGCAGCACCACCTCTGATGACGGGTGAAACAAAGCATTTGATGAGAACCAATGTTTAATAGCTATTTACAACGATGAGTAGAAGATTAGAATTTCAGGATCTTTGCACTGTGGACAGGTCTCACCCAGCAGAAATCCTGCAACCACAGGGCCCCAGATTTGACCAACAGGACACCCCCCCCCCCTCCCCTTTGCACGGAGGGTTTGGTGAATATCAGATTCCTCAACCAATCTTTTAACTTTTGTAGAGTCAACGGAGTGGTAACGATACACGCAGGTAAAAGCACAGCCCTGCCGTGTCTTGCTCAATGCTACCGCTGGCGGAAGGCTCTCGAGAGCCCTTCTGGAGATGGTGTTTTGGTCTACGCTTGCACGCTGGCCAGACGTATTGGAAGAGGTGGGAGTCCCCAGACTTTACCCCACCACACGCAAACCTGTCAATAAACGCATCCCTTTGCACTGCAGGGTGGACCAAGGCCATGGAGGGATTTAAGAAACTTGCCCCATCGTTTCAACTGCCACACCGGAAGATTGAACCGGTGACCTCTGGGATTACAAGTCCAGTGTGCTGACCGTTACACCACGGTAGCAACATCCCAACTATCTATCTTATATATATAGCAGCACCGTATTTCAAGGCGCTGTACGACAACTATAAAATTGTACGTAAGATGATAGTGGTTGGGATAAAGAGTGGGGTTATTATTAAAAGTGGCGGTGTAGTTATGGTGAGAGTTATGAGAACATGTGGGAGTGGTTAAGGAAGGGTTGGGGTAAGCCTGGTGGTAGCTGGGTGGTGCGGGCAGAGAGTAGCAGTAGGGGTAGTGATAGGGGTAGTGATAAGGGTTCAAGTAGTGAGTGGGGTTGGGGTAGTGATAGTGAAAGGGCTAGTGATAGGGGTTGGGATAGTGATAAGGGTTGGGGTAATGATAGGGGTTGAGGTAGTGATAGGAGTTGGGGTAGTGATATGGACTGGGGTTGTGATATGGGTTATGGTAGTGATAGGGGTTGCTGTAGTGATAGGGGTTGGGGTAGTGACAGGATTAGGGGTAGTGATAGGGGTCGTGATAGGGGTTGGAGTAGGCCTGATCTTAGCTGGGGGTCGGGAGCAGGGAGTAGTAGTAGCAGCAGGATGGGCCACCGGAGAATAGATGGGGCTGCTTTAAGGGAGGCACGGAAGCAGGTTAGTGAAGACGATATAATGTTACACTGAGTTCACCTTGTGGTATTGTTCAGAAAAGCTTCCAAGGTTTAAGCTTTAGAGAGAAAAAAAATGACCGGGGAAACAGCTGTACCCAATGAGCAGTGGACGTAGACTTGCGCACAATTTTCCTCTTCTTCTTTGGTTCTTTCGGTAAAGTCACGTAGAATGAGAATAAAATAATAAATTGATAAAATAACACAATAATATTCTCACGACGTTTCGGCCACAACACAAGCGGCCTTCATCAGGTGAAGGGACGAGACTGTCTGGTAGGACAGCGCTGATGAAGGCCGCTTGTGTTGTGGCCGAAACGTCGTGAGAATATTATTGTGTTATTTTATTTTATCAATTTATTATTTTATTCTCATCCTACGTGACTTTACCGAAAGAACCAAAGAAGATGAATCATTGCAGTCACGAAAGCTTTAAATCGAAATTTAACCGCCTCTACGGGGAGGGATTCCACACATCCTTAAGATCATTCAACAGACTCCGGGATAAGAAGGCTCAACTAATCGAACACTCCAGCGCTGTCCTACCAGACAGTCTCGTCCCTTCACCTGATGAAGGCCGCTTGTGTTGTGGCCGAAACGTCGTGAGAATATTATTGTGTTATTTTATTTTATCAATTTATTATTTTATTCTCATTCTACGTGACTTTACCGAAAGAACCAAAGAAGATGAATCATTGCAGTCACGAAAGCTTTAAATCGAAATTTTCCTCTTTTCATCGAATAGTTCTCACGTCCTCCACTCCAACGCCCGTTTGTACAGCAGCTGCACAAGAGCTCTCGTTGTATCCCGGACAGCAGCATTGGCCACCTCATTTCGCACACAGAGCCAGGGTTCAATACTGCATCGCATTCGCACGATGAGGGCATATACGCGACTGATTCATCCGGCGGAGGGAGCAAACCTACGATACATTCATCTGCTTTCCCCTTAACAGATTACAATCGAGCATCACTTTTATAACTCTGGCAAACAATCAGCTCCGTTTTCCAATAAACGCAATTCGGGGACAACACGCAATGTGTTTCACCCTTCCCATCAATGCCCTGCGTGTGTGTTTTCTATACGATCCCTGCAAAAACCCCTTCACGACAAAATGCCCATCGTTTTGGCTATACATAGCGAGCGTGACACATTAAATAGCGGCAGGGGGGGGGGGGCATGACTGACGCTTGGCAACCGTCATGATGTGAAATGCAGTGCGAAACGTGTACCAGCTTGGCCAATGCCGAGGGCATCGTGGGGTTTGAAGCGACAGAGTAATGCACGGCATTTAAGCGGTGCGGTGTGGTCAGCCATACTCTATACGATGGCATCCCCATTGGACACGTGCCCGTGATAAACCGAAAACGTCTCCTTTTGCTTGCCGTTCCTTGCATGGATAACAATCTCCAGTTGTTATCCAGGTGCATTCGTGAATGTTATTGATGACAGCAGTCGGTCCGTGCAGCCACAGGCAGCAGTAATCGATGGTCTCGTAGGCTGCCCGGCTCAGGGGAGGCTTCACCAAGTTGCAGAAGACCCAGACCCCTTCGCAGTGGCAGATTCGGGGCATCCCTCTCCATCGGAGAATTCAAACTGCATCGTATTCTGCAACAACAGCAAAAATACACAAGTTGCGTTTAGCTTAATTTGTGCCCGTTTTTGTTTTACAAAAGGTACGAGTTCGTTTTGACTGCCAGCAGCGTTGAGAAGATCACGAAATGCTGACTCTTATTTGAATCACTGCCCGTTACCACAACAGTGCCAAATGGAATACTTCACTTGAGCCAGCAATGAACTCAAACGCAAAGAGCAGTGCTGCTCCTCATCGTTCACTACTCGCGAACGCTCCCCAATCACACATGCAATAAAAAATAAGAAATCCCTCAGACCTTGGTGTGAGCAATTAAAGCTAAATTGACATACATAGAGGATGTTTTTGATGTAGTTACTGATGACCAGGCTGGGGCAAGGTAGCTCTGCGTGAGATAATTTTTTTTACTTGGCACGAGTCAAAGGTTTCATCCCAGGATATCAACAGTGCGCAGACGCCTGGTACAGCAATTAAGCTAAGTAACTATTTTTATTTTATTTTACTAGGTGGTAAGGCCTATTGAGCTATATCGCTCTTTTTAAAAAGTGACCTAGCCACAAATGATAGCCCAACAAAGTGGCTTATCATGGGCAAATGTATAGCAGCCAAATACTCTAAACGTATGTTTCTAAATGTGGAGGGAAAAACCAGGGGACGCGGAGAAAAATCCACATGACCACAGGGAGAACACGCAAACTCCAAATATACAGCAGGTGTCAGGGTTGAGATGGAACCCACGACCTCCTGTATACCAGGCGAGGTAGTTAACATCTCACCACCGTGGTGCCCCTCATCTCTTTAAGAGACCGTTGTTCCCCCTACTTGTCTATGACAGGTCAATGTATATTACTTGGTGACTGCAGAGATAGTCCAGGAGCCAGTGAGGACCGCAATGACACTGACGTGACCCGTAACTTGGCCAGTGCATTCACGCTTTATAAAATTGCGCGTGTCAAACTTTTAAATGGATAATCTGATGATCGTGGTTTGAACGTTAACCAACAACGGTGAATGTATTTCTTTTTGTTTTCTTGTAAATAACAAAAATATGTTAAAATATATTATAATTTTTTTTATGTATGCCATGTTGACACAAGTGGAAGGCTATGTTAATCTCGGTTGATGGTTGTAAGTCAGTGATAGAAATTCCAGAATTCCTATCGTAGTTTCCTACAAAGTTATGCCAATTTTAAAGATCCCCTGAAGGACACACAGGCTGAGTTGACCCCCCCCCCCGACCTAGATTTGACCGTCCAATTTTGAGAAGAGCAACTCTCTTCCGTCGTAGCCTCCCAGCCAGTTCAAAAGCGAACGCAGAAATCAAACAAGCGGCGATCGCGCCGCAGGGAGCGGGCACCTCCGCAAAGTGGTCCTGCGCGGCTGCGGCCGTCTGCCCGAGCGAGATCTGCGTTTTGACGCGCCGCACGACGCGCTCCTTCTCCGAGAGGCCGTCCGACGCGGTCGAGAGGGCGTCCAGGGAGAGGTCGGGGGTGCGGCGACCCGGCGGCGCCTCGGGGGAGACGCGGCCCTTCCGGGACGAGCCGGACCCGGACCCGGACCCCGAGCCCGAGCCCAGGCCGGCGCCACCGCCGCGGCGGCGCTGGTTGTGCTGGGCCGGCGTGGGTCCGGCGCGCGAGTCCGTGGTGGTGCCGGGCGAGCGGTCGCTCGTGTTTCCCTCCTCGCCGTCCGACGCCGAGGGGTTCTCGGAGCTGATGGTGGAATACGACTGGCAGCTGCTCACGCAGCGCGCCGGCCTGGCACGCGGCACGGCGAGGAGGGGAGGGGTGGGCGGAGGGGAGAGGCACAATTGCAGCGAGCGACAGGAACCAATACTCATCCAGAAGGTGATGAAAGATGATACAAATGCTGAGTGTATTTATGTTTCGGAGGAATCTGGACAGGTCTGGTGTTAAGCATAATTGTCAATAGAACACGATGAATCGTAAATCAATTCGGTATCTATACTGATATAAATACAGCAATACCCTGGTTTACATCAGGGGGGGGGGGGGGGATGCATATGGAAACGACGTAAATCAAAGCCATTTACAGGCTAGGTAGAGGCGAAGGCCGAGAGGCGACAGATCCGAGAAAGGACGGACGATGCTGTTAGTGATGTAAGTGTGGGGGTTGAGGCGACGCAAATCAGATAGTGGTGTTAATAATGTGACGACGTATTTGCGAAACGACATTAAACACGTCACTTAAAAGGGGAGACATAAATCGGGGTATTACTGTAGCATGATTAATATATATGTAATGTAGTTCTCAGAGACACCGTCTTGTTCAGTTATATGTATATTTATTATGAATAAAGTCCGCCGACTCACTAATAACGTAACGAGTAATAGCGAGTGACTATATACACTTTGGTAACTTAGATAACTCTATTCTGAGACAACATAACTCTAGCCTTTCAAGACTACAAGGTGCCCACTCCAGGATGATGAAGACGACCCACTCCAAGGTAACGACGGCGACGGCAGTTCCCCCACAACAGCAGCCCAGAGTCCCGGTTCACGCCCGCTTTTATCCCCCTCATGACCCGGCCACGCCCCTATTCTTGACCTCTCTCTCACCGCACCTGGCCCTGTCTGTCTCTGCCCTTATTACCCCTACCGTGACGCTGTCAAAGCTTGTCACATCAATCATTATTAGCAACCACTTAGGTCCCACATTACCCTACCGTAACCCTGCCTGTTCGCGTTACGTTAATTATTAACCATGGCCACGGGGAGCCGTGCTGTCCCTACATCGCCCCGTACTGTCCTTACATATATACAAATGTACGTGTATACAATTTACAGACCTGAAATTCATAGTTTCATGGTACAATAACTTTTAAATATATAATAATCAATGGCTCCATTTAAAATATATAACGTTGATGTGTGTTATGAGTGAAATGAGTACTTATGTATGCTGGGAATTCTTTGTTGTTTATTAGCTCAGCGCATATTAAATGTGGTCTTTTTAATATAAACAACGAAAGCTTCGTTGTTTTTGGGATAACTTTTTATTTATTTTATCAGATAAAGCCCACTGAGCTACATAGTTCTTTTTCAGAAGCGACGTAGCTTCTGTGGAGGGAAAAACCAGAGGACCCAGAGAAACATCCATGCGGCCACGGGGAGAACATGCAAACTCCAAATATACAGGCACCAGGGTCGGGATCGAACCCACGACCCCCTGCATACCAGGCGAGGTAGTTAGCATCTCGCCAATGTGACACCCTAAGGCTGCAATGTGAGGCTGACCTCTGCCTGCGTGGGAAGTCCACTTCACTGTCCACCTCTCCCTCCTCCTCCGAAGAGTCCAGCGCACCCTGCAGTTACGTCAAAAACATTCAGCATAAAACAGGCATCATCCCGTATTTCATCTTCACCCATTGCACACTGCAGGGTTTTTTTTGCGACACATAATAAAAGAGAAACTGGCCAAATATTCTAAAGCGAGACCCTCTAAAAATTCTTGAAAGTCAGTGAGACCTTTCAGGAATCTTGAATTCACATTATCGCCATCTTTTTCACACCGTGTCGCCTTCTCAAGCCCTTTCCCTAATCACATCTCCTCGCCCAATTCCCAGCCAACATAATCTTGGCACACCGTCAGTTGCTCGAGTCTCGTTAAATGCTTTACGAATCGAATTGTACCGTTGTATTAACGTGTGTATAAGCCGCATTCACGTCACGGTACAACAATAAAGAACGTCCAGTTTTGTAAAACTACACCAAGCCCAACTGTTAGCACTTTGTATGGCCACCATTAATGCTATTAGCTTCAATGTAGCGAAGCAAATTGAGTTGTTTTGGGGATATTTTCTCAGAGCGAAAAATCCTGAGCTCACAGTCTTATCGGGAAGTATTTACAGCGATACCTTGACTTTCGTCCACTTGACTTTCGTCACTTCGCTCTTTCGACCGTTTCCAATTATAATCACATTTCAAATTTCGTCCACGTGCTTTCCTCTTTCGTCCGATTTCATCCCAAATCTTCTGTGACATTCGCGCCATCTCTTTCGTTCAGTCTTTGAATAGAAGTAGTTCGGTAAGCATCTCTTATATTTGTGTTTATTCATATATTATTAATATTATGCTTATTTCTGTGATCATACTGTAAACAATTCATAGTTATTTTTGTGATAACAGTCTAATACTACAGTGTTCATAGTTATTTTCGTGATTATAAAACACGTGTACAGTATTGTTTATTTACTTAGCTTTGTTTATTTATTCTTGTTTATTTTTATTATATTTCTGTTTATTTAGGTTTCGCACGCATCTGTTATATAGTTACTGTAGTTATTTGCATGTGCGTTTTTATATTCACTGTAGCTATTTGCATGTATGTTTTTATATTTACTGCAGTTATTTGCATGTATGTTTTTCGCCGGCCAAAATAAATCTGCATGCTAAATAAAGACTCTGCCTTGACATTCGTCCATTTGTGACATTCGTCCATGCTCTGGTCCCTAACCAGACAAAAGTGCGAGGTATTCCTATAAATGAAGGATAATATTCTCATGCATTTAAAATCAATGAGCCCCTCTATTGAGCGTGCTTTGGGACTCAACCCATGGGCTTATATTAAATATTTCAACAAATGATAACATTTAAATATTCTTGGTTGAGCTCAGTGGAATCACATTGAAGCGGATTATCATTCTTCAAAAGATACATTTGTTAAATCTCTAATTAAGTTAATACACATGTGTATTCCAATTTAATTGTGGGAAAGTTTCATTGTGGGCGAGTTTGCCTTTACACACAGTGCCCACTTCATAGCAGCATTAGTCATTATTAATATATGCACACTCTGGGCTAATGGCGAATATTAAACTATTAAAAACGACATGCAAATTGGGTCAGAGCTCAGTGAACTGACCATACGCTACCTACTCAGCCACATGTATGCTACTGGACTGCATGAAGACACAGCCACGTGGTCTGTCAGGAGGAGGTGGCCGCCGTACCAATCTGCGCTCTTTCCGGCCACTGGTGCAGGACTTGCGAGCGAGCACGAGCGGGCTGTGCCGGTCAGCCGGGAGCCTCCGCGGACTCCGTGGACTCTGGCCCCTCTTAGCGATGATCACGGGGCTCAAGTCCACCGCCTCCTGCGATGCAGCAGCAGCAGCGGAGGCGGCGGTGGCGGCGGCGGCGGCGGTGGCGGCACGCTCAGGCGAGCGCGCCGCAACATTCGCCGTCTCGTTCCCATCGCAGTATCCGTCCAGCCGCCCCTCCAGGCTCCTGCTCTTCTTGAGCGCCTCGCAGGAATGACAGGCGCCCGCCGCCGCCCGTCCCACGGTGCCATCGCCCGCGGCCGCGTCTCGCCGCGCCTCCGACTCCAACACGGAGCAGATGAGGTCGGGGCTGGAGCCCACCAGCCGGCCGGGCAGCCTCAGCGACGCGGGGCTCCGGAGCGCCGCGCCCGAGCCGAAGTAGCGCAGCGCGGCACGGCGCGTGTCGGAGGTCTCCTCCCCAGAACAGGGAGCAATGCGGCTGTCCGCGTTCCGGTCGTCGTCGTCGTCGTCGTCGTCGTCATCGTCGTCGTAATCGTCTTCGCGGATGGGACTCGTCTTCGGGCTGCTGGCAAAGTCGGCGTGCCAGCTGCGACCGTAGGCGCGCTTGGGCCGAGGTTTTCCGCGCGGCTGGGACTTGCCACGGCTGGAGGGCAGGTGGACGGGCACCGAGTCCAGACTGCGGGAGATCACCTCGGCTCGCAGCAGATCTGGCCTAGGGCGGTGGAAAAGGTGGCAAAGCAATGGCGTTGTATTTTTCTGTTTTATTGGCCAAGATAAATGTCTCTAAGTGGTAATGTACGCCAAGGTGTGTAATGGATGCCAAGGTATGTGTTTGAGTTGCATGACATTATTTTTTATTATGATCACTACATATGAGGCTGATCCAGACATCAGCCAAGCAAGATTAAAGTTGGCCCATTGCAATGTTTTCAATTATAAAGTAGTATTTAACGACAATATACATGTTGTGGGTTTTTTCATATGATGGCATGATGCTTACATGTGTTTCACTTTAGCATGCATTATGTTTCAGATTCATGAGCATGCAGCAATAAAAAAAAATACATCATTATAATTATTCACACTACGTGGGTTGTTTTTGAAAATGGTGACTAAATTAGTAGGGGTATATATACCTGGTATTTTTTCAAAAAAATTAATACAGATACATGTCCAGGTCTGATTTACACGGTGGTGTAGACTGCTTTTCTCCCAATTTTTGACAGAAAAACAAAAATATCGGAAAATCACGTGAAGTTTTAGTGCTCAGCTGACTGACCCACATCAGTGTTGACTCGAACCATTTGAACAGTTACAGTACCTCCACAGGCGAGCAACACAGCAGCATAATAACCACCATAGCTTATGGCTACAACAAGGAAGCCAATGAGAGGGCTTTGTGGGGCAGCAGGTGACCCACAGGATGCACCGGTGGGCCCTACCCATGGCTGCGGCGGCGGGGGGGGGGGCGCAGGGAGGGCACGGGGGTGCGGGGGGGGGCACAGGTTTACGAGTGCGATGTCACCGTGACGTCGTCACGCACGCGCAGCGTCTCCGCACAGATTCACGGGTGCAGCTCCCAGGGGCCCTGTTCTCTCGGCTATCCGTGCCCCCAAAAACCTCGAGTGCGCTGACACCGCCGCCCTTGTGGGAGGAGCCAGCGTGGGAGTGCCGCCCGTTACCTGCGGGTGTGCTGGGGACCCTTGCCGGTGGTTGACCTCTTCTTGATGAGGCGCTCCACAGCGTTGGGGCGGAGGGCGGGCCGGTCCCCGTGGCGCTTGTAGAGACCCGGGTACTTCTTATCCAGGACCTGCTCTCGTCTGGCGAATTAGGGCAAAAACATATACGCAATACACGTTAACTCAATGTAGTCTGCCTGGTAGTTGGGTCCGTAACAATGTGTGTGTGTGTGGTGGTTTGTACGTATGTACACACCATCACACACACATTGAGCGATAGTGTAGCGGTTAGCGCGCTGCGCTATGAACCTGGCGACCCGGGTTCGATTCCCGCTCACGGTCAACACCAGTGACGATTATCTGAACCGGTTCCGGGCCTCCCCTAGGTCTACTCAGCCTCAAATGAGTACTCGGTGCGGTGTGTACACATCGCCACTAGGGAGACAAAGGCGGTCGGGCGTGGTGCTGGCCGCCCACCCCCTCGTGTACCGTTCCGGCCTTCATAGGTGCTCGCTAACAGCACTTGCCCCTACAGTCTGTTAAGGCTATATGGGGGGTCTTTGTCTTTTGTATGTATGTTGAACTTCTTTCGCACCGTACGTAGCCAGCCGTGCTAGAGGTCGTCCACGTCCGGTTTGTTTGTATGCAAGTGTTCATACGAGCGACTGTGCGTGTGAGCGAGACTGTGCGTGTGTGTGTGAGCGGTGCCCTCCCTACCTGACAAGATCTTTCTCCCGCACCTCCAGCTGCAGCATGATGGTACTCAGCTCCATGTAGAGGTTGTTGGCTCGCTCCAGCTTGCGTTCGTAGTGGTCACGCACGTCCAGAGCGTGCCTGAGAGAAAATAACAACCGCTATGAGCACAACACTTGATTTTTTTTGTATGCAAATAAATCAATTACTTAATATATTTCAATCATTTAGTAATCCCAGAAGTTTAGTGAGTAAAGGGGTCTGGTTAAGATGCAGTAATGCCTGCTCGGTGTGTAGTACAATTTTTTTTTTTAAAAGGCGAAGCCCTGCAATTGCCTGCTCTTACCACTGCTGGCGAAAGGACCTCCACTTTAGGAAGCTCTACAGAGCTTCTCTTTATGTTATTTTAGCCTCATTTCTCACGCTGGCCAGACATGCTGGAAGAGGAGGGAGTACCCACGAATTTACCCCACCACACACGAACGACTCAACCGACTAACCGTGGTGCACCTTATTCATGCTGCTGGGTGAACAGTGGCCAGGGGATTTACCAAACCGTTGCCAGGAAACTGATTCGGCGCCCTCTGGATTGCTGCTATAAACGTCCATGCGATAACCCACTTCGTTGAGCTATTATTTGTGGCCAGGTCGCTTCTGAAAAAAGCTATAGAGCTTAGTGGACCTTACCTGGTAAAATAAAAAAAAATAGTTTAGTTTGCACCGTTTCAAGTCCAGCGCGTTAACCATCGCACCGCGACACGGCTTCCCTCGGCACGCCAAGTCGGTTGTACAACGTGGAACGAGGGTCACCTGAGCTCTTCTCGCCTCCGCTTGATGAGCTCTTCGTCCAGCCTGTGGATGCACGCCCCCTCACTCCGGATCTTCTCAAAGTGGTTCTTCACCTCCTCGCGCCACTCCACCTGCAAGTGCACGCGCGGGAAATAAAAGGCCAGTGCAAGACGCTTCACGCGCGTCTTACGGTGTGTGTGTGTCGAGCCATCGTGGATGAGCGACTTTCACACGGGCAGAGGAGACCGGTATCCAGCGGCATAATTATGGGGGTGGGGTGGCAGCGTTACGCGACGCATCGGGGCCCAGTCGGCCACAAGAGGGCCCCCGAATCAACGGATAAACAAGTAACAGAAATGTGTTCAGAAAAACTAATTAAACGAAAATATATTCCAGTAATTTAAACATAAATGGCAAAAAACGTTGTTACAAATTTTTTTAAAAATATCTCCGAAAAATACTACCGGTATTTGTTACTGAACACCATTTAATCAGTCTGCATTAACCACAGGTACGTGTGGTTAATGCAGACCTGATCCCTTGCAAAAGGTATCTATTTGGTGTTTGATCATCTTAACAAATGCTATATTGCCAGAAAGGGTAAAACGTATTCTTATTTTTCATACTTTGATACTGCCAAAAAGGCCCCATGATATAGGCTTTTTTTGCTAACTGACGTCCACTTGAACATAATACGCACGATAACACAACTCTGAGTGTCGTACCTTTAAATCGTTTTAATAATAACTGTCACTGTGAGATTGTCTTCCTCTAAACCCAATACACGGTGCAACTAAAATAATACCCATAAAAAGTTATAGCCTACATATCATTGCATACCGGATTAAAACCATCCGTAGCTATTTCAGTAAAAGGGAGTCGGGAGAAAGGAGGGTAGTAGGGGAAACCCCACAGTCGCATCTTGCATAGCGCCCCCCCACTCCCCCCCGTTGCAACAGGTCGTTTTGTTATTTTGGTGGCCCAGTCACCTCACACTGGAGGAGACCTGTTAATCACGAGACTAAAGAGGCACCGCTAATTGGTCTTTCAAGTGTGACGTTGCTAACATTGTGCAACTGTTAAGTTGGGCACCTCCGTGTCGGCTGAAATTTAGGAACGATTGTGCCCACCGGTAATCCCTGAAGTTTGTATGACACTGTGTTCATATGAATAGACATGTAGTGTAGCGGGTAGCGTGCTGCTCGATTCCCGTTCTATGGTCAACACCAATGACGATTATCTGAACCGGTCCTGGGCCTCCCGTAGGTCAACTCAGCCTCAAATGAGTACCTGGTGAGGTGTGTAAACATCGCCACTAGGGAGACAAAGGCGGCCGGGCGTGGTGCTGGCCACTCACCCCCTCGTGTGCCATGCTGGCCTTTGTAGGTGCTCGCTAACAGCACTTGCCCCAACGCCCTGTTCAGGCTATACGGTGATTTTTTTTTATTGAGATGTATCTCATTCATCCACTCGGCTCAAGTTGTTTATATATATACAATCCGCAGTGCATGGATGCTTGTGCTTTTAAAACTAGCTGCTTCCTGCTCTCAGCTTCCCATCAAGATTACAGTATTCCCTTTCCAGACTTGATTGTATTTTTCCAGCTGCTACTTTCTTAATTGTCATCACCACTGCAGCCATGATTCTGAGGTCTCTAGAGCAACAACAACACAAACAATTCAAGTCGCTCTTGAGAAACATTTCATGAAACTATTTTTTCATTCGGCGTTGCACTGCAGGCAAGCACCGTTGTGCCATCTGTTAGGGTGTGTGTAGTAATTACCCAAAATTAAATCGAATTGTGTGCCATATTCAAGTTGTTTCAATGATGGGTTTATTCTGGTAGGGTCACATACTAAGGCTCGTAATTTTGTCCTTGCTGCTATTACCAGCTAGTCACATTCTCAGGATGTACCATGTGTACATATTATAATTAGCGATGGATGACTGTATGTATTCATGACCATGGGGCGCTCTACTTTTGTCATGGTTTTGTAATGACTGTAGAATTAAAGAAACATATAACAACACTTCTGTTTACTCTTTGGTTCTTTCGGTAAAGTCACGTGGGTATAAAATAAAATAAATTAAATCACGACGTTTCGATTGCAACACAAGCAATCATCATCAGGTGGGAAAACCACAGCAAGAACATTTTTCGCTGAAGTGGGAGAGAGAGTTGCCATGGTAAGAACATTTTTTTCTTGCTGTGGTTTTCCCACCTGATGATGATTGCTTGTGTTGCAATCGAAACGTCGTGATTTAATTTATTTTATTTTATACCCACGTGACTTTACCGAAAGAACCAAAGAGTATGGATCCCTGCGGTCACGAAAACTTCAAATATAGATTGAACACTTCTGTTTGTTTTAAAAAATACAAGTCGTACATTGCCAATCTCTGATTAGCATGGTTGGCTACGTACGGCGCCAAAGAAGTTCAACATACGTACATCTATAAACACAATATGTTCATGAAAACTCGTGGAAGGTCATCAAAATGGACAGGTCCGTCAGTGTCTCCACATTCAAGCACTGGGTGGCGATCATCTCAGTTGCCGGTCCTACGTCAAGTAACCGACAACACTCTTGGCCAGATTGCCTGCGACCAGCACAACTTCCACTTGTGTTTTCTTTACACTTGCTTAGCCAGGAAAGCCACACGTAAAACTGAAGTATTTCAAGAGGGTGGTGTTTTCAGTTTTCGCAGCGGCGGAGCGTTGTTGCTGCTGAGTGATCCCAGTCGCTCGTACGAACACTTGCATACAAAGAGCCTGCCCCTTCGAAGAGAACTACAGTGCCTTGATGTACCACGCCTCACTTCCAACACACAGCAACACCCCCGTTCATGTCGGCGATGCGTTCGTGAAAGTTGCGACGAAGAATATCGAAACGACGTCGATCAAAGTGATTGACAGGGGAGTAGCAGGTGGTGGTGGTGGTGGAGGCGAAGGCTGAGAGACGAAGGATAACGAGAGCGGATGGACGATGCTGAGAGACGACGTAAGTGTGGGACGAGGCGACGGAAATTGGCTAGCGATGTTAATAAAGTGACGACGTATTTGCGAAACGGCGTGAAAGAGGGCGATATAGATCGGAGTATTACTGTACTTGCTTGCGCAAAATCCCCCAAAGCACTTGGAAGGTAAACAACAATGTTGCTTATGTAAACAACAGGGGGCAGCATTGGCTTTAAGATGACTGCATCTGGAAAAAATATACGTACTCGATTACCAACTGGTAGTACTGCATTGGCAGAAATAGGCAATTGTCACGCAAGCCTTTGTTAGACGTGTCGGGTTTCTGCTGGCAAAGGTGACAAGATTAAAAAAAATACGTATGCATTTCTTTCTTTACGAATAATAATTTAAGCTAATTTACCCTTGGCAAGCCTTAACGGGTATCAAGACTCGTTTTTTTTAAGGAACGTCCTGCCAAGTTGTCCCAGTCGGGAGGCGATATTGCTGCTTGTGCCGCTAGCCCCGACGAAGTGAATTGGCAGGTAATATTCGAGGATTGGGATGTTGGCCAATACCGGTTACATTGCGCATTGTTTAAGCCGTGCGAGGAAATCAGGGGAACCTAATGGGTGAAAGTCTGCGCGTGGGAGAACGTAGCGAGTGTGGAGGACACTCACCTGGGACTGAAAGTAGGTCTCCTGTGGGGTGGACAGCAGGTCAGCTGACGCAATGTCCAGGTGCAGCAAGATCTGCCGGAACGAGGGACGGTTTCTGGGCTTGCCTGTCCTGTTACCACAGAGGGGCACGGGCGAAGCATGTGCGTTCACGTCGTCAGCCCACGGGACACCGTGACTATGCCCACGAGAAATCTGAAGGGAAGCCTCCTTCAACCTAATTTGTTTGTTATGGTTTATCCTCCACCCTTTGAATCGTTACAGAACTCCTCTTATCCGCCACCCCGTTATCCGCGGCTCCTATCATCTGTGGGAGTTGGAGTGCCCACGAAAACTCTTATTATCCGTGGCTCTATTCTTCCTATTAGCCACGCATGATTGTGGAATGGCATCCGATTACCTGCGGTTTTTTCACGTTTAAGAGAAATCGTGATGAGAGAGGGACATTGTCAAAGTGCTGCGGTCAAAGCATTGGTGCACGCTGGGCTCCTGCTGTGACCACAGGCGGCACAGAAGCCACGAATAGACACAGAGACAAAGAAACAGAGAGACACACATAGAGAGATATAGATACACATATAAACACGGAGGCAAAGAGAAACACAGAGTCACAGAGAGACACACATAGAGAGATATAGATACACATATAAACACGGAGGCAAAGAGAAACACAGAGTCACAGAGAGACACACATAGAGAGACATAGATACACATATAAACACGGAGGCAAAGAGAAACACAGAGTCACAGAGAGACACACATAGAGAGATATAGATACACATATAAACACGGAGGCAAAGAGAAACACAGAGTCACAGAGAGACACACATAGGGAGATATAGATACACATATAAACACGGAGGCAAAGAGAAACACAGAGTCACAGAGAGCCACACATAGAGAGATATAGATACACATATAAACACAGAAGCAAAGAGAAACACAGAAACACAGTCACAGAGAGACACACATAGAGAGATATAGATACACATAAACACGGAGGCAAAGAGAAACACAGAGTCACAGAGAGACACACATAGAGAGATATAGATACACATATAAACACGGAGGCAAAGAGAAACACAGAAACACAGAGTCACAGAGAGACACACATAGAGAGATATAGATACACATATAAACACGGAGGCAAAGAGAAACACAGAGTCACAGAGAGACACACATAGAGAGATATAGATACACATATAAACACGGAGGCAAAGAGAAACACAGAGTCACAGAGAGACACACATAGAGAGATATAGATACACATATAAACACGGAGGCAAAGAGAAACACAGAAACATAGAGAGATATAGGTACACATATAAACACGGAGGCAAAGATAAACACACAGAAATACGGAGACACAGAGACACGGAGACAGGCATGGAGACATAATGACACAGACACACAAGAAAGAGAAGGAGATACATGAAGACACGGAGGCGTACAGAGAGAGAAACAGAGACAGACACGGAGACACCTTTTTCCAATGGTATCAGAGAACATATAAAGATAAATGACAACATCCAGAATGAAGAAAAGCAAGTGGTCTTGGGCAGAACATGTCACTCGAGAGGATTATAAATTGTGGTGCAAGTTTAATAAAGGAGCGACAACCAGGAAATGCAACACATCCGAGGGGACGTTAACAGAGGAGATGGAGTGATGAAATCAGCCCGTGTGCAGGTGCTGGATGGATTGTTGCATCGCAAGTGCACGAAAGGGGCTTGGGGAGGCCTTCATCCAGCAGTGGATTGAACGTGGACGATGATGTTGAATATTTGCAGATAAATATAAAATAAAACTAGTTATGTGCTGATTTTAGAAAGCCACTGGAGCTATGCACTTTTAAATCTAAATTGGAACATCACTTCTTTAGAACTGATTTTAGTGTTTAGCTTGTTGTCCTTCCCCGGCACCTCCAATTGCCATGGTTGGCGACGTACTGCATGAAAGCAGTTCAACAAACATACTGACTACACACACTATCCAGTTTTTGTTTTGTTGTTTAAAGACAATATCCATGAGCTGGATTTCACCTGTGGTTGAACAAAATAATGAATTACAGTCTGCTGAAGTCAATGGAATTGATGGCGAAGGCCATCAAGGTAGATCACGATCTAACGATTGGTTAACGGGCCGCCGCCTGTGATACTTATCCTAATTGTGGGCCAGAGCAATTGGAATGGTTTCCAAACCTGTCAACCTATACGGTTTACCCCGTATTCTTGTACAGGGAAATTGAGTTTTTAGGTCAATACGGCATACAGCCGTTTCAATTCGGGAAGAAATAATATATATTTTTGTCTATTTGTTTGTGTTTCTCCTCTGTGATGGGACTTTGTAGGATGAACGTTGAGATTTATAAGGGCACGGGGTGACCAATAAGGTCTGAATTGGTCTGTAATAAGAGAGGCACTGATGAGGGGTTGGCAGGTATGGGTATCCCACACTCAGCACATTTCCCATGTGGGTTGCACCGTTCTGGAGTAGGGCTGGATTTAATTACACTTTATTAATGGGAAACATTACATGAAGAAAAATTAACGTGCAATGCTTAACGTTTAAATTACAGATTCGGGAATAAGTGTGCACACAATTAAAGCTATTGAAGTGTTATAAATTTAAATCTGAAAATAAGAAATACAATCTGACGTTGGGCCTCAAAATCCAATATCTGAAAAGATGTATCTTAAATGTATCCCGAAAATGTATACATAGTATATATTGCATATGCAGATTCAGTCAAGTTACCATTTTAATACTTTTTAAATTAACAGCTGTGTGCTCTAACAAGTCACATTTGTTTAATATTCCATTAATTAGACGAACATTTTGTCTCGTAAACTTTTACAGCACATTCATGAACGTAATAAAAAAACAAATGCAAAACTGTTACTTGGTCAAAATGGTTTACCAGTGAGATACAAGAACACAGTTACTACATTTGTCAGGAATTTGAAGCATAGGCAGTTTTTTTTCATTATGATTTCAAATTCAGTGTTTAATGTAAATTGTTGTCTCACGTGGTAGATTAGGGTCGTGAACTTGCCGTTGATTTTTTTACTGCCGTTAGAAGGTCCAAGTCCGGGTTTCACGTCTGTATATTGTTTGCCTTGCGATTGCCAGATGATCTCTGAGGTCAACTTAACAGCAGACAATGCACTTGCCTGGTAGCTGCACATAAAACAATAATTATCACTAACCTGCTTCCGTTTCCACCCTTAAAACAACCCCTATATCTTCTGCCTTCCCATCCTACTGCTACTCCTTGCCCCCTAGCTAGGAACCAGGCCTGCCCCAACCTCTATCACTACCCCAACCCCTATCACTACCCCTAACCCTACCCCAACCCTCCATAACCACTCCCCATCAGTTTCAGTTTTTTTCAGTTTATTTAGTTTATTTATTTTGGTATAGCCCTGTGAGCCATTTGGCTCTTGAATCGGGTGCAACCACAACAAACAAAAAAACACGAACAAGAAAAACATCTTAAAGTGACTATGTGACTGTGCAAACAGAAAATCCATGAAAAAAAACATCAAAATATTCCTGAAAAAAAGCACCGTACACCAACGCTGTGTGCAAAAAATCCCATTGGGATGCAAGTTAAACAACAACAACAACCACAAGAAAACTTAGATTAAGGCCATCAGTCTAACTCTGTACTACAACAAAACAAACATGTCCAAACCAAAAAACTTTTCGAAATCACCAAAAAATAAAGCCGTAATTGCAACGTAATAGTGATCACAAGGACTGTGATCGAATTTTTACAATAAACTACATAAATAACATGTAACACCAAATTCTAGAGCCATAGCTGTCTGCATGAGTTACTCCATAACAACAGACGCATCAGTCGGAGTATCACATTTTTCAATGCACCTTTAGGATCAGCACGCTAAATCAAAATACAGATAATACTTTGCAGCGTCAAAGTATTGAATAGCAGTGGCAGCTAGGGGTGTACAACTCCTCTAGAGCAGTTTTGAGAGAAGATCTCATTGGTAGCGATTCAAGTTGCAGTTTATTGGCAATAGCATTCCAGACCCTGGGGGCATCAATAGCAAAGGCCCTTCCTCCAGTTTTTGTATGGCAATAGGGAATGTGAAGCTGGTAAATGAGCGAAGACCTGAGGTCAAATTTGTTTTTTGAAACAAAGAAGAGATCCAGTAGGTAGTCTGCGGATTTTTTTGTAAGTACATCGTGAATAAATAAGATCTGGTGTACAAGCCATCGAACATTAAGAGATGTTAAGTTTGACCCAATGTAGAGATCACAGTGGTGAGTCCTATATGGGCAGTTCAATGTAAATCTTAAAGCCGAGTGATAGATGGAATCAAGCTTCTTCAGTACAGTACTTGGGGCTGATTTATACACGATGTCACAGTAGTCAAGTAGAGGCAGTATGGTGGCTTTTATCAATTCCAAATGGAACATTGGGGGGAAGCAGTACTTGTGTCGATACAGAAAACCTATGTTTTTGTCTTTTTACCAATATAATCAATGTGATCTTTAAAATTCACTTTTGAATCCAGGATGACCCCAAGATACTTATAGATCTTGACTTGCTCTATTTGATAATTATTTAAGGAATGTAATTGGGGAAAAATAACTTCCTGCTTTAGTCCTGGTGAGAAGCATGGCACCTTGGTTTTGGAGGTATTCAGGACTAGTTTAAGAGCAACTAGCTGATGTTGTAGTTTGTTGAAATCACCCTGGAGCTTAGCAATCACGTCATCCGGAGAGCGGCCAGCAGTAATCAGTATCGTGTCATCTGCAAAAAAAATTACCCTGGAATGATCCAGGTCAGTGCCCAAGTCATTGACATAAAGAGAGAACAAAAGGGGGCTGAGGATGGAACCCTGTGGAACCCCTTTTGTTATCTTAAGACTGTTTGACCTCCAACCATCTGTGAATACAGTTTGGGTGTGAGAAAAGAGGTAATTTTGTAACCATTTTACTGCGTTTTCGGAAAAACCGAGGCAACTTAGTTTACTAAGCAGGGTGTTGTGGTCTACTGTATCAAAAGCTTTGGACAGGTCTAGAAAAAGACAGGCACAGTACTGCTTAATATTAAGGCTACTGTAAATGTGATTCAGAGAGTCTAATGCAGCAGATGTGGTGCTGTAATTTTTTTCGGAACCCAGATTGTTTTAGATGTAGTAGATTGTTGGTGGACAGGAATCTGCTAATTTGGTAGGTCAATAACTTTCAAAAATTTTCATCAACGGGGACAAAATTAAGATAGGTCGGTAGTTATTTGGATCATCTTTAGGGCCCCCTTCGTGAAGTGGACGGACATAGGAATGTTTCCATTCTAAAGGAACTGATGCTTCTTTGATGGACAGGTTGAAAATATGGGCTATAGGTTTGTATATTAGGTGACCAACAGTTAGTAGAGCAAACTTAGCAAAGATGGGAATAGTATCTGCTCCGGCAGAGGAGGACCCTTTGAGGTAGGACAGTTGTTTCAGAACATTACTTTCGTGGATTAGCTAGAAACTAAATTCGTTTAATCTTTGGACAGGGGTGTAGGAATTTGCATGAGCAGGGGTGACTCCCAATACATTATCAAAAAGATTACCAGCTTCAGAAAAATTAAGATTAAAATTGTCAACTATTTTTTTGGGATCTGAAAAATATTCCCCATTTTAGTTAAGCTCAGCGGGCAGATTGTCTGTTTTGGATGCCTTTTCTATACATTTGATTGTTTTCCAAAAAATCCTGGCATTTCCATGTGATTCCAGGAGAGTGGAGGAAAAGTAGGCATTTTTTTGCATGCCGTATTTTTTTTGACGCATCTATTCCTTAAAATCCTGTATTCTAGCCAGTCATTGACCAAATTACTTTTCTGAGCACATGCCCAAGCCTTGTTCCTAGTTTTCATGAGCTTTGTAATCAAAGGATCAAACCATGGTGGGCAGTTGCCTTTAGTTTTAAATCTAACCAACGGAGCATGTTTGTTAAGAATTTGGAGAAACGTGTACCTGAAGGTCTCCCAAACCGTAGTCAGGTTGGGGATATCACAGACCTTGTCAATATCCGAGTGAAGCACATCATTAGTAAATGCCTGAGTGCTGAAGTGTCTCATAGAGTGCTTCTCAACCAATCTAGGGGGGGCTTTGGATCTGGATGATGATCTCACTCCAAAAATGTTCTCCTGTCACCATAACTGCACTATCACTTTTAATAACAACCCCATTCTTTATTATTTCAACCACCATCATCGTATGTACAATTTTATGATTGTTGTAAAGTGCCTTGGAATACGGCTCTATATACATCTATGTAAGATAAGAAGATCAAACAAACCCTAAATCCCATGAAAACTGGGTTAATGGCAAACATACCACCAACTATTCACGATGTGGTGATACTTGTAATATACATAAGGATACCTTTAATCCCCTTTATTGTTTTGTTAGTAAATAGTTCAACGTCTTAAATGTATTTTTTTCCATGGTGTATGGGAAGATGAATATTAAATGTGGGCATTGACAAAGAAAATGGAACTACCATTGATGAGTGCACAGAGAAGCATGAAGAGGTGCATGCTGGGAATTACACTGGAGGACAGAAAGAACGAAACATGTATTCGACACCAAACACGAATAAATACGTCGTGTTGACTGTTCAGAAGGTAAGTCAGCTTGGGCAGGGCTCGTCGTGCCTTGAAGGGATGATGGCCAGTGGTCAGGACTGGTGATGGAAGAGCAGCTAAAAGAGAGAACGCACCTAAGGGGACGACGATCAGAGATGGAAGTGATAGCTGACGCATGACAGCGAGACAGACATTGTGGCATCACAACACTACTTGGGATGGCTTTGGCATAAGGAAACCCTTTCATCCAGCAGTGAAGAGATCGTGGCTGAAGAGATGAGAAGATGGCATCAAAAGAAATATGATGATGAGCAGGTGTTCCCGGTGTGAAGGGTGCTGCCTCTGGTTACCAGCATTGGGTGAGGAGGATCTTGAAGCCATCGGGGCAGGATGTGGGCACAGGCAGGTGCAGGCTGTTGCTGCCCACGCCCCAAATGATGGCCGAAGAGTCGACGTCTCTGTACGGGATCTCCCCTGTGAGCAACTCCCACAGAACCACGCCGAAAGACCTACAGACGCACGTACAAACACACACACACACACATACACAAATATCCTTAACAGTCTTTCAGGACAAGTGCTGTTTCACGAGCACCTATGAAGGCCGGAATGGTACACGAGGTGGGTGCTCCCCCTGCCCTCTGCCTGGCCACCTTTGTCTCCCCCAGTGGCGATGTTTACACACCGCACCAGGCAGAGTCGGTCTAAGGGAGGCCCAGGACTGGTTCAGATAATCGTCACTGGTGTTGGTGGCCGTGAGCGTGATTCGAAGTCGCATCGCCGGGTTCGTAGCGCAGTGCGCTAACCGCTGCACAATGCCTCCCCACAAATACACACACAAGCACCATGGACTAAACACCGCACAAACAAACACAATCATTACAGACGTGATCATGAAAGCCAAAGAATATTCCCCGTCATGATAGGGTGCTGCAACACAGCTCCCTATCATGTTTCTTGTAAGAGGTCGAGCGTTGTTAACGGTGAACGGTTAGGTGTTACATGGCTAATTTAAAGTCAGACGGCGTCGACGGAAAGGTTTTGAATGTCTGTGGGCTGGCCCTGCGGTTTTGGTGGCGCCTTGGCATCGGTAATCCAATCCTAACGAGGCGAATGCCATCTGTCGCTCAGGGATGCCACGCAGGGTCCACAGAAGGGACATCTGTACCCAGCAGAGGAACACCGCGCCCTTCCTCGGCAGTCAGCGCCAACAGGGGACTAATCACTGCTCTGCTGCCCATCAAGCTGCTGATGGGACTCCACACTGACGAGACGGGCTCAGCGGAAATGCCCCAGCGGTGATGACATTAAGCGGCATCGCTGGCAGTTTACCTGTTTCCGTGTTATTTCAAAAGCAGAGGCTGCTAATGACGTTGCGTTTTTATGTGGAATTTGGACACGGGCGCATATTTGGGGGGAGGTGGGGGGGGGCAATCCCCCCGCGGATCCCCTCCAAAAAGAACTTGCAACGTGCATGCGCGCAGACCCTTCGATGGCTCGACAATACGGTCTCGACGCGTGATTGATGTAGCTGTGGTGAGACACAGGTCACTCGCAACAGACACACATACACACCTGTGCACGTGCTCGAATCAGTGATGTATGGGGGGGGGGGGGCATCGCTACTAGTACTGTACTGCTAGTGGTGGAAAATTACACTGACATACAAGTGAGCACTAGCTCTGAATAGGATACTGTCCTTTCATTTTATTGATCGTGCAAAAACGAGCCGAGTTGACCCCCAACCAGGGTTTGAACTCGTGCATATCCGCTTGTGTGTGTGTGTGTCGGCTGCTATTCCACGGAGATATCAACTACAACCGTACAGAAACGCTTCCAAGACGTCTGACCAGTGTGGAAGAGTAGGCAAAAAAAACCATACCCTCTTAGAGGCACTTTATAGCGTTCCATCAGGAGGTCGGCAACAGAAATAACAAGAGGAGCAATTTTCTTTGAATTCGGTTGAAAAAAAAACCTTGGAATATTTCGAGAGCCGCCAATGGCATGTGAATGAACACAAGAACGGGTTCTTAACGAGGAACGTCAAACCTTCTTTTTTGTCATCACCATTTGAAGAACGGCACACGCACCATGATTTGTAATTGCCGCATTACAAGTCACTGTTGGACTTTTAGACGCGGACCGTTAATCGAAAATAATTATAGTGTCGGGAGCCACGACGCAGCCCCTTGAAGGGCCGCATGCGGCTCCAGAGCCGCAGTTTGCCGACCCTTGCGCTAGCGGAAAAGGCTCCCGTCAGCAGTACTGTGAGCAAGCAAACGCAGTACTGTGTGCAAGTGCTTGCACACAGTATACGGCACAGTATAGGGTCAACAGCACGTGTAACATTCACATTGAACGGGCAGAAATGACAGTTCTTATGAATCACAACTTTGCCGCCACGAAGGTTTTCAGCAGCTGCGGTGAAAATGAAAGGGAGAGGGGAGCGCGGGCCATAATTCCAGCTCAATTTAGGAGCAGGACCCCTACACATTTGCTTCACGTTCAGAGCCACAGCTGGCCCCCGCGTGCCAGCCAGGGCGAGGCTGGCACCACGTGGAACGCTGTGGTGGACAGCCTCACGTGCAACCACGCCGTGTGTGGACTATTGCCTGCAGCTGCTACCCGCTGGCCTGCCACACGCCCTCTTTGTGTGTACACGTTATGTTGAACTACTTTCGCACCGTACGGAGTGGAATCTATCTGCCAGCTAACAACAACATGAACAGTCATCTTCTTGGTTCTTTCGGTAAAGTCACGTAGAATGAGAATAAAACAATAAAACAAAATTAGACAATAAAATTCTCACGACGTTTCGGCCACAACACAAGTAGCCTTCTTCAGGTGAAGGAACAGAACTGTCGGGACGACAGCGCTTCAATGAACACTGCTAAGATTTGCAGCGTCTTTTAAGCTAGGTGGGAGAAGTAAAGTGCCTTGACAAAGGAGTTTACACATCAAACAGGAGAATTTAGCATTGAAATAGCTGTGATAAAGTGTTGGATCAGCAGGATGTTAAAGTCAGAAATTAGCATGAAAAATGAACAGTCATACCTTGATATGCGAACTTTTGATTTTGGATTATCTTAATGACCATTATTTGAATGGAAAATAATAAATCCCAACATATTTAAATAAATAATGCGCGAATAGATCTCTGGCACTTTATACATAAGAATAACATTACGTTTCTTCGTGATATAGATTTTATTTATGTCCGTTTATTTATATGATTTGTAATACTGTACAGTATAAAATATGTCACTTTCAAAATAAATCATTTTTTGATTTAAAGCTTTCGTGACTGCAGTAATTCATATTCTTAGCTCTTTCGGTAAAGTCACGTTGAAGGGAAACAATAAAGTAATAAAATATATATAAACAATAATATATAAAACAATAATATATATTTTATTACTTTATTGTTTCCCTTCAACGTGACTTTACCGAAAGAGTTCAAATAAATCATGTTTGTTTACAATATGAAGGCAAAGTTATGTGTTTATACTATGAAATAGTAAGTTACGAAGGCTGGGAATGCATCATCATAGACGAATGTTATAGGTTATTCAATGTACGAAGTTTAAATATACAAAGCACCCAGAACGCATCTAATTCGTATATCGGGGTATTCCTATACACGGACGATTCACCTTCGATTCCTCTCCCATTATCGGTCGCTTAACATACACAATAAACGTGTGTTTATTTCCACATCCGATCAGCCACACAGACTAAATACTATTTATTTGTATGTGCGGGACAAATATTGGAAGGAGGCGAACTGTCGTATCACTCATTATGCTGTTAACTTATAATCGCCACATAGACGATGACGATTGCACTGCCTAGGATCACCACCTGTCCTGTTTTTCTCCAAGAGTGCTCTTTTTGAGGAAGCTGTCTTGAGAAATCTGTAAGTATTCCCTGAGACATTCAGAGTCTTCTCATCAGCCGTATGATAATTATGATACACCACTCGAGACATGGGCGTGGAGTGCTTCCCTTTTCCAGTATTGGGAGATATATCTCCCCATGCCATTTCCCAGTATTTTGTCAAACTCTCAGAGGGTGGCAGCCCCAACTCTGGCCTTCCACCTGTGGCAAGGTGGAATGAGTGATGGGGACAGACGTTCACAAATAGCCGTGGGCGGCATCGGGTCACGATGGCTGTGCATCCGCCACCGAGGGGCACAGAAGGTGGTGGCGGAAAGCGGAGAGACAATTTGTGCCCCTGAATGTTCTCTTGGCACCGTTGACTTCTCATAAAACATGAAAAGGTAGAGGTGTAGCTGCAGCCCTGCAACTGCTTGCTCACAACCACTGCTTGCAGAAGGGCCTCCATGAGAGGGAGCTCTGAGGCTATCCATTTAGTACGTACGCATGGTGTGGGGGGGGGGGTAACCCAAATGAGTACGCTTGCGTATGGGGAGGGTTTACTGACAATGTATGTACGCATAGGAAATGGGGGGGGAAGGGTGAAGCCTCGATAATAATAATAATTTGTCTACATTGGCCTTCAAATGAGTTAGATAGTCCGGCGGTGGACTATCTGTTTGCTTAAACACGTTAATATTATTCATTCTTGATCGTTTCTGCATGGATTAAATATCGGCCGTACTACAGGATTCGGGGGGGGGGGGTGCGTCAAGCGTACGTACGCAGGTGGGGGGAGGGGGGGTATAAAAAGTTCGCGTGCGTACAGGGAGGGGAAGAAGGGTCAAGTTTTGACAGATTTTTGCGTACCTACTAAATGGATGGCCCCTCTCGAGAGCCACTCTTGAGAGCCACTCCAAATAGGGCATTTGGCCTAATCTCCCACACTGGCCACGCACGCATATTATACACATCTTGGAAGATGTCGGGTAACACAAAATGTGTCATGTTGAAAACTAATATCTGAATTGAAAACGTATGTCATCAGAACTGCTGTTTGCGTTTCATTGGTTCTCCTTCCCCCGCACTTACGATTAGCACGCTTGGCCTACGTACGGTGCGAAATAACTTCAACATGCAGTCAGGGCCGGATTAAGGCATTTGCTTTCGGGGCTGCAGCACAGGGGCCCCTGCCAGCTCTGCAGGGCCTCCAGAGATTAGGTGAAAAGTTATTTCATTCGTGAATGCGGAATTTGATTTGTTGCGAGCGCTGCAAAAATACATTTTTCTTTTTTCTTTAACTTTGTTTTCCTCTTGAAAATATTACTGGGGGCCTCACACTATCTGTAGCCCCGGGGCCTACAACAATATTAATCCGGCCCTGCATGCAGTACATACATGTTGCGTGAGCGCTTTACATGGCTGCTTGCTCAATCAAAATGCGTAGAAGAAATGTCCCTTCAGAGCAGCAAGCTGCGGCACGGCTGGCACGGTTCGTGGGGACCAAGCAATGGACATCTCTTGCAGGATGAACATGGCACGGGCACAGTTAGTGTTTAACTTCCGTACGAAGAGGAATGCAATTCATGCAACCAAAGTTATTTTAATACCTTTTCCTTTCGTGTACTTTAAA